CCCCCTCCCGAAGCTTCTGGAGGAAAAGCCCCGGGTGTCCCCCGGCATGCCCCATCTCGCGGCGGGGTGCGCGGCCGCCGGCCCTCGGGAGAAGTTGGGCGGCCCCGGACGGCCGCGGGGCCGAGGGGCCGCGTTTGTGCAGCGGTTGTAAGCAAGATGCGGTAGCACGTGACCCTGGAACGCAAACCCTGATGCCGGTTCCCCGCCGCGCGTGTGTTCTTTTCTCTGACACTTGGCCCCAAGCAGATGCATCACAGGTGAGTGATGGGCCCTGTGCTGGTGACATCTTTGGGAAGCGTTTGGCAAATCAGAGTTCAGAGTGCCTTTCTTTGGTTTTGGTGCCACGAGGGAGGTTACAGGTGCGATTTGCAAATGGATTTATGTCCCAAAGGAGACCAGAAATCCAGAAACCAGAGTTGGGTTGAATCCAGCCTCATGCAACCAAATTTACTCCAAATGCGAATCGTTCTAGATAGCCACACGTTGATTTTTCGCTCATTCACCCCTTTTCCCTGTGCCTTTGAGTTATTTGAGCGTTTAATATCTTGATCTGGATTCCAGAGCGTATTTTTAGCTTAACACCATGCTTCACCTTGAATTTTGCTGGTTACCCTGTGGCTCAGATGGTAATGTGGGGGAATTAAGTTCTTAGTTTTGCAGGTTTCATGCAAATATTTCAGGTACTTGATGATACCATGGCAGTACAGATCGGTGCCAGATAGAGTTACATTTGGCTGTTGTTTTGGGACCTTTTCATAGGCTGTATGTTTAGGATGAGGAAGACGAATTCACTGAAGCTGCTGAACCTGTCCATGCCTTTTGCAAAGTGGGTGCATTTCAGTTAGCTTTTTATATGTCATTCTAAGAAAAAGTTGTAAGATTAGCAAGTGGCAAATGTGGTTTGTTCTGTAAGTCAGAAACACACACATACAAACTGCAGAAGTGTGAAGGAAATGATTTTACCAGGAGTGAGTAGGGAAGAAGAGGGAGCTTGGTATCTTGATTTTTAGCTCTTCTTCCAAGCTTGCTTCCTAGAAACCCGTATGAGAAAGGTAGGTAGAATAGAATTGCACTTTAGAATGAGAGTCTTTGGATCTTATTGTAAATTCCCTTCATCTGCTTGCTTTCCGTGGGATATTTGTTACCTTTGGTTTATGGCTGCTGAGGTCATCACATTTCAGTGACTCACGACAAAGCAGAAATCTGCTGAGCCTCACGCTAAACTCTGGTTTGAACTGGTTTGAGAAGAAGGCCTAGGAGTCAACCCAGAAACACCATTTTGATTTTTATCTGGAGATTAGGTACACAGATTAAATTCAGGAATTTTTAGACTGAGATTTGAAGCTATAGACTTTTAGCTTACTTAAAAAAAATATTGTAGCCATTTGTTATAGGTTATTGCTCTGGTGGTTGTAGAGTTTTAATTACATTTATAGCTGTAAGAAATTACAGGAAAAGTCCATTTTAAACAAACTCACCTAGAAACTTTCAGAATTATAGGTAGCTGTTGTTTCTTTAGGCTATAGGATTTTTTTTGCATTCTTTTATAGCATAATTAAATACTTGTACTGTTATTGATGTGTTGTCCTTCATGCACCTCATTTATCCTATGCTTCTAGTTGCCTTTCCAGTAAGGATGAAGATGCATTGCTTCATCCAGATCACATATTTCAAAAAAATTTTTTTTTTTTTACATTTATTTATTATTGAGAGACAGAGACAGAGCATGAGCAAGGGAGGGACACACAGAGGAAGAGACCCGGAATCTGAAGCAGGCTCCAGGCTCTGAGCTGTCAGCACAGAGCCTGATGCGGGGCTCGCACTCTCAAACCACGAGATCATGACCTGAGCTGAAGTCGGACGCTTAACCGACTGAGCCACCCAGGTGCCCCTCATTATTAATAATTTAATTTAGACCCAGTATCACTATAACTCCTGTAAAAAGAATTAGTAAAAATTCTCTTGAGTGAATTAAACCAAACCATCTACAAAAGTCTGGTTTGAAGTAATAGGCCATTTGGAGAAAATACTGTGAAAGAAAAAGCTTGGGTATTTAAAAAAACAAAAACAAACTCTTACTGCCATGTGCTCGATAAGGATTGTGCTTTGCTTCAGGTAGTGGGCGTAGGGTTTGAAACAAAGCACACCTGAGTTAAATCATATTTTTGCTTTGTGACGTTGACTGAGTTAGCGTCTCTGAATCCCAGAGTTTTTACGATTAGAAAGAATATGACATTCGCTGTCTGAGAGCTGTGAGCATAAAAATGAATTAGTAGTTGGTCCGCTCTCATTTCCCTATCCTGATTGCCTCAGGTTGTGCAGTACCTTAAAACGGAATCACTGAGGTAAGATTTTGCCTAACTCGTGTGTGCTCTTTCCTAGGATGAATGAAATGAACCTGAGCCCAGTGGGGATGGAGCAGCTGACTTCATCCTCTGTGAGCAATGCCTTGCCAGGCTCAGGGAGTCACCTTGGGTTGGCTGCCTCACCCACTCACAATGCCATCCCTGCCCCAGGTGAGTGGGAAGGGAGAGCGACTGGATTTGAACACTTAATTGTATTATCAGTTCTAAATGGAGCCTGCAGGGGGTCAAAGCCCCTTTATGAGTGTGAAGGGGAAGCCAGGCAGGTGTGAACAGCAGTTCCACGAGTGGCGGCATAATGGAAGGAATGTTTTTGTGGAGTCCTGGAGTTCTAGTGGACAGGAGTGGCAGCTTTTTCTGATTAGTCCCCTTGTGGGGTGGGTGGCCTGTTACCTAGAGCTGTAATTTGCTTGGCATTTTTTCTAGGATTACCCATTCATCTGGTTCACTCCCTTGGCGCTCTGTCCCTGGGTCAATAGAAGAGGATGAAAGTTACTCTATTAAGTATTCTCAGTAAAGAGGAGGAATTGAGCTTTATTTTCTATTACATCCAAAACCGGGAACAACCGCAAATGCATGAGGCTGAGAATTATAAGAGGAGATGTCAGAGACGGAGCTCCCAGGTAGGGCTCCCCGGGAGCCTCAGTATCCAGAGAGGAGTTGTACAGAAAAAGCTCCCATTTTCTCTATCACTGTACACTTAAAACCTTTTTATCTGCTTTATTTTCTTTTTTCTACTGAAATAGAAAAGAGATAAGCTGTTCGTTCTTACAGTGGTAAGCTAGTGGTCGTTAGAGATTTGTGACATCATAATGGACTTTACCGAAATAAGAATTAATGTTTAGGGTATTTTTTTCCCTAGAATTTATTTAATGTTTTTAAAATTTATTTTAGAGAGAAACAATGCAAGTGGGGAAGGGGCAGAGACAGAGAAGAAGACACAGAATCGGAAGCAGGTTTCAGGCTCTGAGCTATTAGCACAGAGCCTGACATGGGGCTCGAACTCACAAACCGTGAGATCATGACCTGAGCTGAAGATGGATGCTTAATCCATTGATCCACCCAGGCACCCCTAAGGATATTTTAAATCTATAAGTTGTTTAAATAGTTCTCTGTAGGGAATTACCTGCTTAATTACTACTGTGCAGCAGTTAAATAAATTCATCTGAACTAGGGTCTCCACCATTCCTTTCAGTGTCCACAAAAGAAATTAAACAATTTATTAGTGAGTTCATTTGATTATCTCTTAGGCATTCCTTTTAGTGAACACTCTCGTTAAGGAGGAAAAGCCTATTAAAAAATATTGCCATGGGCAAACATAAATCACTGCTCAAGTTGGTCAGTATTCATTATTATACTTAGGTACAGTAAGAGTCGTTTCCACACCTTGCAGATATAATCCAAGGTAGATACAATCTAAAGTTTGAATTTTTTTTAATCATGAAATACAGCATATATACAAAAGACTATATTTGTACAGTTTTGCACTTCCAAGTAGAAGCATATCTAAGAAATTTTATTTAAAGTTTTTTTTAAGTCTATTTATTTTGAAAGAGAGCACGTATGCACACACAAGTGGGGGAGGGACAGAGAGAGAGAGAGAGAGGGAGAGAGAGAATGCCAAGCAGGCTCCATGCTGTCAGTGCAGAGCCTGATGTGGGGCTCGATCTCACAACCTGTGAGATCATGACCTGAGCCAAAATTAAGAGTTGGATGCTTAACTGACTGAGCCACCCAGGCACCCCTCTAAGAATTTCCTTTTTAATTTTTTTAATGTGTATTTATTTTTGAGAGAGAGAGAGACATAATGTGAGCAGGCAAGGGGTAGAGAGGGAGACACAGAATCCGAAGTAGGTTCCAGGCTCTTAGCTATCAGCACAGAGCCTGACTTGGGGCTCGAACTCATGAACTGTGAGATCATGATCTGAGCCTAGTCAGACGCTTAACGAACTGAGCCACCCAGGCGCCCCGGCTAAGAATTTTTAAACAGTAAAACATTCTCATCATATAAAATGGTAAATATAAATAATGAGGTTAAAAAAAATCTGTAGGGGTGCCTGGGTGGCTCAGTTGGTTAAGTGTCCGGCTTCAGCTCAGGTCATGATTTCACACTCCGTGAGTTTGAGCCCCATGTTGGGCTCTGTGCTGACAGCTCAGAGCCTGGAGCCTGCTTTGCATTCTGTGTCTCCCTCTCTCGCTGCCCCTCCCCTGCTCATGCTCTGTCTCTCTCTCAAAAATAAATAAAAACATTAAAAATTAAAAATCTGTAATATCATTACTCAAAGACTACTCCTGTGAGCTTTGGTATTTTTTCCCATTTTTATCTCTATGATTTGTTCTTTTAAATTTTATTTAAACTAGGTTTTTAATTGTAATTAAATGTTTTAGTACTTAAAAGCAATACAGACAACTGGAGGATCAACTTGGCCATTTTAAAACTAACTTGAGAACTAACTTTAGGGCCTGTTTGTGGATATTTGCACAATACTTCCTGTCTGGGGATATAAAGGGCTTTTAGGTGAGATTTTTCCCCATTTGCAGAAACTTTCTTGAGTTTAGCTAGTGATTATTGAGAGAATTTTTAAGTACTTAACTTTCTTTTAATTGAGAAAAAAAACTTTTTTGTAGGCCTGCCAGTGGCAATTCCAAACCTGGGTCCCTCCCTGAGCTCTCTGCCTTCTGCTTTGTCTCTGATGCTCCCAATGGGTATTGGGGATCGAGGGGTGATGTGTGGGTTACCCGAAAGAAACTACACCCTACCTCCACCACCTTACCCCCACCTGGAGAGCAGTTACTTCAGAACCATTCTACCTGGTAAGTATTATAGTTATTTGGGAAATTTGAAGAAAGAATAGAGCCTCCTATTAACTTCACTTCTTGAAGACTTGAATAACCCGATTTTCTGTTTGTCAGTATTAGATATTAATCTCTAGGTGGGGAAAAAAAATCTTTATATGTTTTTGTACTTTTCCTTTTAGCGTATACAGATCACACATTATTAATATGGCAGTTTGACTAAGCATAATTTCTTTTTTTTTTTAATTTTTTTCTTAACGTTTATTTATTTTTTGAGACAGAGGAAGAGTATGAATGGGGGAGGGTCAGAGAGAGAGGGAGACACAGAATCCGAAACAGCCTCCAGGCTCCGAGCTGTTGGCACAGAGCCCGACGCGGGGCTCGAATCCATAAGCCGCAAAATCATGACCTGAGCCGGAGTTGGACGCTTAGCCAACTGAACCACCCAGGCGCCCCAGACTAAGCATAATTTCTTAATGACAGATGAACAGTTTTTTTCCTTTCTCCTCCAGTGTTTCCTTGATTTAATTTTCATAATTTTGCAGTTGTAATTCCTGTCAACCACACGTCCTGCTAGTGTCACTATCTATTATAAATTAAGGTTTATTGGTTTTAAGTTTATTGACTTCTTATTCTCAGTGTTTGTTTCAGAAAATTTAGCAAATGGGGAGAAGAACCACCAATAGTCCTATCATCCATCTTCTTGGTGTACTTTCTTCCTGTCTTTTATTTTGGTGTATAGATTTTTACTGTTTTTCATAACTAAGACTGTACTTTCTATATGGTTGTGTGTCCTTTTTTCCACTTAATATTTTCCTGTGTTTTTACATAGTTATTTTTCCTAACTTCTGCATGGTTTTTGTAATTATTCTTTTTAATGCTGCATTACAATCTACTGAATGGATATTCCATCGTTTGTTATTATATTAATCTTTATTGTTGGACAGTTTGGTTTTTTTCCAGGTTCTTATTACTATTATAGGAATGTCTTTGTGTACAATATTTATGAAATGAATTTAGTGAAGATTACCATTAAGTGGAATTTCTTGTGCAAGAGCCTATGAAAGTGTTTTTGGAGTTCATATGCTCTTGCACATGAGTAGATGTATTAAGTATGTATGTACTTGTATATATTTAATTTTATGTATATATCTAAAAGTATATGTATACTTTTATATATTAAGATAAATATACTTTCCAAAGAGGTTTTAGTAATTTACATTCCCACTGGCAGTGCAGCAAGTACCATTTGACCACATCCTTACAAGCATGAGTGTTTAAATGTTTCTTTCGGTTTTAATAAAGCAGATACAATTGTGACTTATTTTGAATAGACCGTAATGTGTTATGATAGTTTAATAACTTAAAACTTAGTTGTATTTAATTAAATTTTATTAAATTAATTAACATTTTCATGTGGAAGATCTGCTTTTAAATCCTTTTACCTTTTAACTATAATAGAGGAAATTTCAGTATCTTAAATTTCAGGAATTCCAACTATATATATATATATTAAAGGTGTCATTTATTTTT